TGATCCCTAAATGAAATAGTACAGAGGCAGAAGAGAAGAGGGCCCAAGGCAGAGCCCTGTAGGCTACCCACAGTTAACAGGCATGACCAACATGAATTTCCAGCAAAGAAGACTGAGAAGGAATGTTCAGATAGGTAGGAAGAGAAGGCAAGGAAAGAGTGGTGTCCTGAAAACCTAGAGAGAAGAGAATGTCAAGAAAAGGGTGATCAATAGTGTGAAAGGGTGCAGACAGGCCTAGAATGATGAGGTTTGAGGAGAGGCATTAGATTTGTCAATTCAGAGATATTTAGTGACTTTGGAGAGAGCAATCTTGGTTGAATGGTGATGATGGAAACCAGACTATGGAGAAGAGAGTTTGAGGAAAGGAAATACAGACATTTATTGTCAACAGTCTTCTGAAGGAACTTAGCCACAAAAGGGATATGATGGCTAGTAGGGATAAATGGATGAAGTGAGGGGTTTTTTGAGGCTGAGAGAGACATGGGCATGTTCATATGCAGCAGGGAAGGATCAGTAGATTCCATTGTATTAGGACCGGTAGAAGTGGGGAGAGGGAAGAGAGAGGGATATAGGGACAGTTTAAAGCTTCTTGAAATATAATGGATAGAAGTCAAGATGCCAGCATAATTCATTTATATAAGAAAAGACTTGAAGAAGAGAGGCAGCATAGTTCAATGGATTTTGTGTTGGAGGACCCAGGTTCAAATCCCATTCTGCCACTAGGTGGCCTATATGGCCTCAAGCAAGTCACTTAAGTTCATTGAACCCCAGTTTCTTAATCTGTAAAATTATAGGGTTGGATTCTGTGACCTATCAGGTTCCTTCCAGTTCTAACTCCATGACTAGGTGGTGTCTAAAGTCTCTTAAGGGGCAGCGAAGTGGTGCAGTGGATAGAGTGCTGGGCCTGGAGTCAAAAAGACTCATCTTCCTGAGTTTAAATCTGGCCTTAGACAGTTACTAGCTGTGTGACCCTGGGCAAGTTACTTAACTCTGTTTGCCTCAGTTTCCTCATCTGGAGAAAGAGATGGCAAACCATTCCAGTTTGCCAAAAACAAACAAAAAAACCCAAATGGGGTCACAAAGAGTCGGACACAACTGAAAATGACTGAATAGCAAAGTCTCTTCTAGCTATAAATCTACAGTCCTATGAGCCTAATGTATGTTTGCCTCCCAGTGATTTCTAACATAAAAGATGCTAGATTTATAATCAGAGTACCTGGATTCAAATCGTGACTTTTCTTATTAATAGCACTTGTACTTACCTTTAATGCATCTATGCCAGTGGCTGTGTGTCTGCCTAGTCCGTGAATTTACATTTAGATGGATATTTTCATTTGCATGACTATGTTCAATTCACTGCACATGACTAGATCTCTAGGGGAATGTCATTTTCCTTTTTTTCCTAGAGAATGTTTTTGGTTTGCTATGTTTTGGTTATGACCTGTGATTTCATCATTGTGGGGAATTGCCTATGAATAAATTCCCTCCACAAATGCCCAGCCCTCACTGCCAACCCATTAGCAACTTATCATCTTCAGTAGGTGCCCAAGGCACTGACAAGCCAGTATGTGTCAGTAGAAGACCCTGAACTCTATCTTTCTAACTCTAAGAAAACCAACCCTCTATCTACTATGCAATGAAGTCTTTTTGGTTGAGCATGTACTCGCTATGTATTCTTTTATCATTTTCAAAAGATTCATCACCTGTTATTGCACAATCATATGGTGATGAAGCTCTTCATATGTTGCTAGGCTCATCTTCAGACACGCAGACTGTTATTGGGCCTGGAATGAAAGCTTCTCCAGCCTTTCTACACCATAATGAGGCAGTAGAGAAGGACTCTTTGTGGAGCTAATGATAGGGATGATAATAACAGATAACATCTATATAGTACTTTAAGATTTGCAAAGAATTTTGCACACAGATTTACTTTGATCCTCACAGGAATCCAAGGAGGTAGGTACTATTATTATCCCTATTTTACAGATAAAGAAACTGAGGCTGAGTTTTAGACACTTGCCCAGTATCACGCAGCTAGTGTATGCAGCAGGACTGAAACTCACACTCCCTTACTCCAGTATTCTATCCACTATGCCACCTAGTTGCCTCTATCAGTTTTCATGATTCAAAAAAATTTAAATAATTGAAAGGAAGGATGTGGCCAATTTCTGATTCCAGAATATTCATGGATAGTTCTAAATGAATGCCACATCCTCCAAGCCAAACATTTCAGCACACACATGAACACAATTGCCTTTGAAATTAGTGACAGCTATCCATCAGAAGGCATGTACATAAATGATAATAGTCAGATCTAATGGTATTTTTGAATTTTCAAGCCAGTTTTAGTATCAGGGCCAAATACTACTCTTGGATAGATGCTATTCCAAGGGTATATCCAAGAATTCCCAAGCTAGAATGTGTTTTGGAGAGTAGATTATGACTTTGGTTTGAGATCAAGGAAAGTAGAAAAAGAAATCTGAGTATTCCATTTGAGTTATTATATAAAGGGCTAGTCTCGATTCAGCTGTACATCTTATAAATCTCGTTTGTGACCCTTGGCTGTCTGGCTAAAAGGAATAATTAAGAAAAAAGCCATACTGCATTCTGACAAATTACAACTGCAACTAAGAATATCAAAAGTTCGCACTGTTTCCAAGTTTGTAAACAGTTTTGGCTCTAATAATGAAATATGTGTATATATGTATGTTTAAACACATGCACACATAAGTATTTTTGACAAAGAGAATAAAATCCATGGAGGATATGCTTATAAATGCCAGTGTTGTGTACCTTTTGGGGACTGAAAATAGAGACTTCCAGGGCATTCATATCTTTTAGGGTAGGTGAGTCTGTCAAGACTCACTTTGCTTTTGGGCCCAAGAAATTCCATCCCAATACTTCACTACGATTATTCAGCCCCTACAAATACCACTAGTTCTAATGAACTCATAACTTAAATAAATATCTGGAAACATTCCTGGCGATTACTGCATCTGCAAGGGCTGAAAATCAAATCACTAGAGAGACACTAGCTCACTTGGTCCACAGAAATCTATCTGTATTGGTTAGAGTATGGGGAAATGTCAGAAAATGATTCCTATTTTTATGAAATATTGGAAATTTGAATATTACTGTGGGTAGAAACTGTGCGAATACTCAGGTATTTTTTTTAAATGGAAATATTATAAAGTTGTGAGAGGACACCAGAAGGGGCCCACTTTGTTTGAGGGGATGAGTAGGAGTGTGAGTCAAAAACATGAAAATGTAGAGAAGTGGGTGGAGCTGATGGATGTGATTGTTAATTGGACCATGCTGAAAGCTAAGTTCCTGGAAATGGAACTAGAAATGGAGGACGATTTAAGAAGAGGTTTGAAACTGGAAAACACAAACAATCCATTCTAATGACTAGAGGACAGAGCTCTGAGAAAAAAGATGGCAAGACTCTTAAAAGCCATGACCTCTTCCAATTCTAACAATCTATGACTAGGTCTAAACACTAATGAAAGGTAAAGCCAGTGGAAGTTCACTGAAAGGAGGGACCATTTATGACTATTATTAGGGAGTATGTTCCAGCTCCTGAGCTGATTACTGAGATAGGTCAGGGGTAAGAATATAATCTTTTATGATACAAGACAGGATCAAACAGGGCTGAACTGAAAAGACTTTGCTTTTTGTTTTATTTTACTTCTCCCCATCCCTTAATTTTCTAGCAAAGCTTTTCAACTTTGAACTCTTTTTATTTTGGATGAACCAAGGAAGGTGAGAGATTACTGGCACTGGGCCATGAGAGTTGGTGGAAGGAAGAATGAATCAGAGAATTAAAATTCCTTTGGGATCTACTTAAAAGCTGATGGCAGTTGAGGAGAGAAGGAAGAAAGACTCTGGAGAAGGGCTCGAGGGCTCAGGTGCAGAAGATGTTTCCAGTCTCTTAGGGAGGGTTTCTTCACACAACACAATGAGTATTGTATAGACGGTAAGCTCCTTGAAGGAAGGAACTATTTTTTTTCTTTTTTGCCATTGAATTCCCAGCATCTAACTTAGTCTGTGACAAAGTCACTGCTTTGTTAATGCTCATTGAATTGAATTGAAAATGTGGAATCAATCAATGGCAAACCTTTTAGGAAAATCATAATCAAATAGAGTTAGTCTTCCTTTTTCGGGGGAGGTTTGTTCTAGAGATCTGTTACAGAGAACTGGACTCTAAATATAACAGCAAAAAAATCCCTAACACATTAGACTAGGAACTGCTGGCTCTAGGTGTGACAAAAGACAGCAGTTGGATTTCTGTGACCTAGTTCAATGAAGCAGTGCAATAATAGCTACTTTTCTACATGTACTAAATTACTACCCAGTTTTCTATTACAACAGCACATCTTTTCAAAACATGATCTCCATTTCTAGACACCACCATGATCCAAACCATTTCTACTCATCCCAGTTCCAAGGGTGAGTGGCTGTGGATAGATTGCTGGACCTGGAGTCAGGAAGATATGGGTTTAAGTCCTACCTCTGATACTTGTGTATCAGAGCTGTGTGACCATGAATAAGTCACAAAACTTCTTAAAGCCTCATTTTTCTAATCTGTCAAAGTGGGGATAATACTCCATTTTTCACAGGAATTGTTGTGAGGCTCAATGGACGCAATGTAAATAAAGGGGATTTTTTTCCCGCAATTGCCTAGACTGGATTAGACCGAATGTTCAAATAAGCCTGGTATTGTTGGAAAATGTAAATAAGGCCATTTCAATTTTTCAAAAATACACTTTTTATGACCATCTACATTTATGTGGCCATTAGAAAAATTGTCATATTAGTCTCCTCCACTTCCTCCTCTCACACTTTCATTTTAGATCTGTCATCTTAAAACATGGATCAACTGAGGAATTCCAACAATTGCTCAGTCAAGATGGTGAGGATGATTACAGGAAAAATGACCTAAAAGAAGAAATCCAGAATTAAGATGTTTCACAGAAAGTTATGCTGACTCTTTTCCTTACCTGAAATATTCTTGTAGACCGGATTCTTATATCAGTCAGTTGCTTTGGCTGTGTGTGTATGTGTGTCTTTTTTTTTTTTTAAGAAACAAGCAGTCTTCAGTGTTTTTATAGCATTGGTTACTACAGAAACTATACTTCTGTTACTTCTTATCTTGGAGGGTGGACAAAATAAACAAATGGAAAATAATACTACAATGAACAATAAATGACGAAAGGCTTACAGTACAAAAAACAGCGTAAAAAGAAAGACAAGTTTAAATATTGTTGTGTAAGAAAGTGATGAAAATAATACAAGAATGAGAATAAGTAAAATGATAGGCTGGAACATCTGGGAAGGTAAATACAGAGACAAACAGAAGAGTTAATTAGTGACCATCCAAAAACTATCATCAAATAAGCAACAATCCAATACTGTTATATCTAGTAAAGGAAGGGAAAATCCCATAGTTTGAGCCTATATTCTCAAAAAGTTTCTAGCTGAAAACCCACTGTACTTACTATTTTCTCTCACTTAGAAGTGAGAGGTGCTCTCTCACATCCCACTACCCCCAAGGGGACCATTTTTTGTCAAGCCATATGCTCACAGTACCTGTGATTTGTGCCACAAGGAAACCCAAAGCCAAATGTTTGATGTGTTAAAGGAGAGGACTATTTTAAGCTTTCTATTTCAAACTACCTGTTTCATCACTAGGCAAGTTATTCCTCAATCCATTCCCCCTCCCTTACCCTCCTCCATAGTTTGCCCTAGAAAGCTCACCAGAAAAGGTTTAAAATAACAGCTAGGGTCATGTTGTTTCTAGCTATTGCTGGAAACATTAAAGTAATCCAGAGTTATGTGTCAGTAACTAACTGATCTTTTGATAAAAGCATATCAATCCCTCGTCTCTTTTCAACACTTCAGCATAATGGCTTAGGTGGAAAATTCTTAAGGACTTCTCTCATGGAATGATGATATCATGAGTAACTGGCCTCATATAACAATGCCAGTCTTTCTGTCCTATACTCAGTCGCTGATGTGTAATTGATGCATATATGCCTCTGTGTACAAGGCAATTTAAAATTTAAAATGGCTAGTATTTTGAACTAAACACTGCTTCATCAGCCCCTGTTCTGAACCAGAGAGAAGGAAGAAGGTAGTTTTTCCTTTTACAGAAACAGTTAGGCCATATCTTTTTTCCCCCCCTGAAGTTTATTTGCTTATTTTTTGGCTTACTGTTGATATAAGCTACAAGGTAAACCTACTCTCTTAGCACTACCTACTTCAGAGTTTGTCCTAGGACAGAATTGTTCAAATGACATTGAAATCCCTTCCTCATATTATTTCCCCCAATATACTTTTTAATTTTTTGTGTTCCATTTTCAGGTTCTACCTTCTAAGGAGGGTAAAATGACAAATCTATGTTCCTGATTCTTGGTAAACATATTTTAGCCTGTGGTCAGGCATTTTGTAAAACAGTACCGCCTAGGAAAACATGAAGAGAAGTAGGGGGAAATAACCAATTCCAGGCTTTAAGATATCAAGAAATTTGGAGTTTAAAGTTTTATTCTTAATTAAAATGTAAAGAAAACAATTACTAAGAAAATAACCAAATTCAAGCATGATGAACATAAAATGATCATTTGTGTTATATGTACTTCAAAAGCAAACTCAATTGCTATTATCCAAAAAGAATTGGCGGACTTTATCAAACTTAACTTGGAAGCCGATAAACCAGTGAGTATATCACAACTAACCTGTAAATACAGACTAAATACATAGACCTCACCTATGTGGGAGTGACTTTTTCATCAACTTAGGATGCAATAGGAGGAACTGTACCTGACTAACAGACAATGGCTCATCTGCACTTCTGTCATCTGATGACTTTGGAACTTCTAGCCTGTCGATGAAAGTCTGGAGTTCTTTCCGAAATGCCTTCATCTGTGCATTGATCCGGTAAAGCAGTTCATGCTCCCGGATCCTGCTGCCATCATCTTCCTCATCCATCAGTCCAAACAGATCCCCATTGGCCACATAAATTCTTGCCTCAGTGATGATGGTACTAGTGTCTGAGATCAGCCGGTCTATTGTCTTTCCCAGACGCTCTGCTTCTGAGCGGATATCCTTCATTTGCTGCCGGTCTGTGAAGTTTTTTTGCCAGGTGGTTGGGGTTGGGTAGAAGGATCTGGTGGGGGTGAGGCATCGGATATTTCGGACCTCTTCTGAGTCACTCTCTCCACCAATGGGCCCTTCCCTTTTGCGGTGTGGTGGACGGGAGTCATCATCACTTTCTTTCTTTCCAGCATCACTTTCAGCATCACTGTCTCTGGGGCTGCCCCGAATCCCCAGGTGGGAGGCCAAGTCATAACGCTGCATGTTGGACATAAGTACTCGGTTCTCATACTGCAACTGCATGACCTTGCCACTGAGTTCGTTGATCTGCATACGGGCAGCCTTCAACTCCTCCTGGAGGGCTTCAGTTTTGGCACTGTCATGGTGCCTCGAGCTCTCGTGGGCCCCAGACTTGTACTTGTACTTATTTAGCTCTGTTGTGATCCTTTTGTTTTGCTCCTCCAGGTCAGCCAAGTTTCTTCTGAGCAATTCTGTCTCATCTTCCACCAACTGCAGGTGTTGCCTTAACTCAGAGAGGGATTCACTCTGCTCCCTCATGAGGGGATTAGCTGTCCCATTGAAGTCATCTCCTCTCAAATCATCAAGTTCAGCTTTCAAGCCTCTGTTCTCTACCTCGAGTTCCACTATTTTCCTCCCCAGGATGTTGGCTTCTTCTTCCACCAGCCTCAGACGAAGCTTGAGCTCAGCCTCCCTCGTTGTGGGAGGTCCTCCAGCTTCTCCTTTGGGTAAAGGACTGTCCAGGTCTCCATAAAATGACCTGTATTTTTGGAGCTCATGCTCAAATCTGTCCTTCTCTTTATCAATCTTTGCCATTTTCTTTCGCATCAGAGCAGCTTCTTCCTTGACAAATTGCAGCTGGCATTTCAGATCTTCACTATCCTCCTCATTTTAAAAAAAAGAGAGAAAGGAATAGGAATCATTTTTATGTAAATCATGAAAATGAACAACCAAAAAAAGACACCTGCAAAGCTAATTTCCTTTCCCTTATGGCTAGGCTCTGATTTAAGGGATGTGTATGTGGAAGGAGTGGGCGAAGGAGAGTGAAGGAAAATGCTGTTTGTGTGCCAAGGAAGTCTGAACAATTACTTGGAAAATAAATATTTGGGAAGCTATATCTCTGAACATGAAAGGGCTATGATAAAAAGAAATTGTAGGCACTCACATTAGCTAATCATTGTCTGTTGTAACTGTGTACAGTTAAAATTTGGTGAAGGAGCTTACAACAACAGACAAATGTTAGAGTCAACCAATGTCATCAATCAATAAGCGTCTATCAGGTGCTTACATGTGCCAGGCGCCGTGCTTATCACAGTGGATACCAAAACACAAGTAAGGGAACCCTGCTCTCAGGAAATGTATTATGCAACATGTTCACATATGAACAAGTAGAGGATCCATTTTCCTAAATACACAGTGACGGGATGCACTAACAACTGGGGAAATCAAGAAAGGTCTCTTAAAGGAAATGGCATTTTACTGAATCTTGAAGGGAATGAGAGGTTCCAATAGGTAGAGATGAGGAGGGAAGGCATTTCAGGTGTGGGAAACAGTCTTTGCAAAGGCAAAGAGGTAGGAGATGGGATGTCATGTTCAGGAAAGCATGCTCAATTCAGCTAGCTTGCAAAGTGATATATAATCAGCCAGGGAAGACAGAGTGGCATCAAACTGTCCAGTGCCTTAGATGTCAAACAAAGGAATTTGTATTTTAACCTAAAGGCAATTGGGAGCCATTGAAACTTCTTAAACAGAAGAGTGACATTTATATATTTATGCTTTAGGAATCTCAGTTTCACAGCTGGATAAAGGATGGACTTGAGAGGGGAAAGACTGAATGCAGGAAGCAAAATTCAGATGTTATTATAATCATACATACAAGAGATAATGAGGGACTGAACTAGGGTGGTTGTAGTATAGGTAGAAAGAATGGGGAAGATGTGAGACAGATTAAGGACATGGAATAGACAACTGATCAGATGAGATGGAGAGTGAGAGTGAAAAATCAAGGCTAATTCCTAGGTTATTAACATTCTGGATAATGAGAAGGGTGATGCACTCAACAGAAAAAGGGAAAATAGGTGAAGGAGTATATGTTTAAAAGAAAATATAATGAGTTCTGTTTTCAGCATGTTGAGTTTGAGATATCGATGGGACAATCAGGTGGATATAGACAGTGAGCAGCTGAAAATATGGGGCTAGAAAGCTCAAGAGATAGAAATGGGTTGAGGCGAAGCGAGGAAGCATAGATTTCACCTTGAAAGATATCACAGACTTAATAAAGGGAAAAACTCTCTTTAAGAATAGAAAGAAAAAGCTTTCTTTAATGTACTTGGTGCTGTGACTAACTGCGCTCCCTTTTCTGGGCCTCTGTTTCCTGATCTGTAAAATGGGGATAGCAATATTTGAATCATGGACTTCATGATGTTCTCGTGAAGAAAGAGCTTGGTAAACTGCAAAGCACCATATAAATGCGAGCAAGTTATTTTAATTATGTAATGTTTGTGATTATGCTAAAAAAGATGAACCGGATGGCAACTAGCATGGTGAGGGGCCTCAGATTCATGCAACCTAAGAAACTGTTTAAGGAATTATGCATTTTAAAACTGAAAAAGGAAAAATTACTGCATGGGAATATGATAGGTGTATTCAAGTACTTGGAGTGTTTTCTTGTGGAAGAAGTTTTAGACTTGTTTTGTTTGACCTTAGCAGCAGAACTAGGAGCAATCTTCTCAGAGATTTCTGAGAGACAAATTTGTTGAGAAAAATTTCCCCACAAAATTTCCCAAAGTGGAATGGGGTGACTTGACAAGGGATGGCTTCATTATTGGAGAGCTTCAAACCAAATTTGGATGGTGATTTGTTGGGCGTATTATGAAAGGAATGTTGGTTTGCTTTTTTCCCCCAGGTGTGTATTGGACTAGATGGCCATTGAAATCCCCGAAATTCTGTATAATTATTATACATCCTGTTCCCATTTTCTTTCTTTCTTTCTTGCTTTTTTTTTTATGGAGTTCAGATACAAGTGGCCTTGAGACAGAGAGTTCTACTATTATTGTTGTTGGGTTTTATTTTTATGTTCTGTAGACTATTGCTCAGGCAATAAAAGTTGTATTATAATCAGTTTCCTCATCTATAAAATGCAAATATAATGCTGGCCTTCACTACCTGTTTGTATTTTTTTGTAAATATCAAATGGGTTTTGAGAGGTGGTACCATAAAAAGCAAAGAGCAGGGTTTGGAATCAGGAAAACCTGGCTTCAATCCCTGCCTTTTCATATACAAGTTGTGTGTCTCTAGGTAAGCCACTTAATCCCCAGACAGAGGTATGATTGATCTACTTTGTATGGGCTCTTAAGAGCTGATAGATTTTCAGTGTGAGCATTTACACCCCAGAAATCAGCAAATGTTACAAATTAGAGCTTAATTTATTGTTTTGTTGATTGTCCAGACTTAAGAAAGTAATGGAGAAGTCAATAAAGGAGATTAAACCTGGTAGTGTGTTGTGCTAACATTTCCTCCCCTCCCCCAGAAAGCCAGTTGCTAAACATTTACTAGTGTACCCTTGTCTCTAGTACTAGGCCACTCTCTAGAACTACAAATTGCAGGGCATGTCTAGAACTGGTAGAGGGTGTTTTCTCACGAGGAATTCCCAAAATAGATGAAATTTCAGGTCCAGCACAAAGCCAGAAATAAATAGGCTTCACCTATGGGAGTGGGTAGTGTATGTAGCATATACTGGCAAGGGAGCAGCATGTGCTACATATGGTAAACCACTGTAAGATGACCAAGAAGCTACAGTAAAACAGACAAACTTAGAGGCTGAGGAAGAAGAGGAGAGCAGGGACTTGATATACAGAGTCAGAAGGAAAAAAGAGACCTATGAGAACAAAAACAGTAGCAGCAAACATTATCTACAGGAAAGAGGAGAATTGAAAGGGAATGATGACAGGAAGAAGCTGGTGATTGGTAGCAAGATGGTGAAAATGAAGCAAAAAATAAAGGAAAGGAAGAAAAGGAAAAGAGATACAGGTAATGTTAATTTCTTCATTTTGTTCTCTGTAAAAGAACACAGATGGAAATGGGAATAAAAGAAAACAGACAAGAGAACCAATATAGATTTTGTATGTGGAATAGGACAACTCAAGGACTATTTTGGAAGATGAATTATTGTGGAAGCCATTTTGTGAGGCGTGAGAACCATTGCTCAGCAAAAAATCATGGGATGGAGACCATAGTTATCAATTTGACTGGACTGAAACCAAGATACATATGTGTAGTAGTTCAGTTCTCCAGAGGAGAGAAGCTTGACAGAAACTACAGAGCAGTAGAGAAGTCATATTTCTTTTGGAGGATATTACACTAGAAAATAGAAGGCCCAAACTTTTGAAATAAATTTGCAGAGGTTCCACTTAGCAAGTTTAGGTAAAGCATTTGCTCATTATCTTCAGGATTGAAACCATGTCTAGAGGAAACATTGTGACTTTAGTTTAAAAGATACTGTGACATATTAACAATCTCAAGAAAATGATCAGATTAGTCTGGATTTTTGACAGTATAAGTAGGAAATCAAATCCTGGAAAGTAGAAGATGGAAATAAAGGCATTTTTCTCTAAATAGATGAAGAAGGATCATAACAAGTAATGGAGACAGTCTAAGTCATACGCCCAAAAAATCATATAAATCTAATAGCAAAGCATTGCAGGGAAGCTTTCCATAAAAACAGAATTATGAACACTTTTTGTGGAAAATAAGAATACTATATATTTCTATAAACTGTCCCAAAGGATATCATGATTAAAGAAATGATGATATAACTTCATTAATAATAACTAACATTTCTATAGAACTTTAAGGTTTACAAAATAACTTTATTGCTCCAATCGATCTTCACAAAACCATGAAATAAGAATTATTATTATGCCCATTTTATAGATGAGGAAACTAAGGCTAAGGGTGGTTAAATGATTTGCCAAGTGGCACATGGCTATTAACTGTCAGTAGTGGGATTTGAATTCAGATACTATTGACTTAATATCCAAAAGTCCTCTCTACTATTCCATGATAACTACCAAAAAGGTGAACTGGGAGGGAACTGACATCTTTTGCCCAAATTAATATTGGGAAGCTACCCAGGGCTGTTAGAGAAAAATCTAGTAATATGTAGATACTTCAAAAAAGAAAAGGAGGAAAAATTTTTAAAAAATGATAAAATGGCTCACATTCTTATAGAGTTTTAAGGTTTACAAAGTTCTTTACAGATGTTAACTCTTTTAGTCTTTACAACAACACAGTGAGGTAGCTCCCATGATTATTCCCATTTTAAATGTGAGGAGAATGAGGCAGAGGTTAAATGACTTATTCAGGGTTACACAGCTAGTCATGTTAGAGACAAGATTTGAACTCAAGAAGATGAGTCTTCCTGACTCCAGGCCACATACTCTATACACTGCCCACTTAGCTGCCCCTCACTGTTCTACACTTCTTTATGACTTCTTTCTGTGACTCCTTTGCTATCTCTTCTTCCTCCTCTTATATTCTTTATGTATCTCTCTTAATGCATCTGTCTATCAATCTGTCTATCTATTGGATTCTGGTTGGTAGAGATCAGACTAATATTAGTAGTAGATGAGAAAGGTGGATTCTGTTCCCTTCTCCCTTCCCAAGAGAGTTTCAGGAGCTGGCTTATAAGAAAGTGGGGGAAAAAAAAACCCAGCTATACTAAAATAGGAAGCTAGATTGCATAGTGCACAGAATATTGGCTATGGAGCCAGGAGGACCTGAATTAGCATGCTACCTTAGACATTTATTAGCTTTGTGACCCTGGGTAAATCATATAACAACTCTCATCCTTAATTTCCTCATTTATAAAATAGGGATAATAATAG